GCAATGGCAGCCAGCATTGAAGTTGTTTGAGGCCATGCCCAAGGCCAAAGTTCAGCCCGTCGTGTACAGCTACAATGCTGCCATCAGTGCCTGTGAGAAGAGTGGGCAATGGCAGCAAGCATTGAAGTTGTTTGAGGCCATGTCCGAGACAAAGGTGCCACCAGATCTGGTAAGTTACAATGCCGTATTTGATTGTGCTGAAATTCGGGACAGTTCCATTGGTGGAGCTTTGTTTGAGAAGTGCAACCTACCAGAGATTCTGGGATTAAAGGGCTTTGGCGCTTCAATGATCGACCTTCATGGCCTCTCTGAGGGAACTGCCCGTGTTGTACTCTGTCACTGGCTTTCCACTGCAGTGCCCACAAAGCTGGAGCAGGACAAGGAGTTGACATGCCTGATCGTCACTGGGTATGGTAAGTCTCGGAACCAGTGGCAAACGTCAGATGTGCGCCAGGCAAGCTTGGAACTCTTGCAAGACGATCTTGGACTTCAAGCAGCGGTGTTGCCCAAGAACCAGGGTGCAATTCAAGTTTGTTTGGGCGAGGCAGACTTGCCAGCCCTGCGCAGTGCTGGAGCCAGCTTCAATCGATAGGTTCTCTTGTTCAACAGGCATGAGCTTTATCACCAGTTTACCACAATCAGAAGTATATAACCCCCACTACTTTGACCAACTTTGAGTCAACAGTCGAATCCAGTCCCAGCAATGTTTGAAGACACCGAAAATCATTGTCGTGTGTTGCTTGAAGCCCTGGCAAGGCACTTGGCCACGCATCTCGTGATCCGCATAGCAGCAAAACTGATTACAACTTCGTGAACGTCGGTCCGAATCAAAATCTTCAGGTATCTTCAGGTGCCTTGCTTGGTTTTTGTCCGACATCAAACTCTGCAGGTGCCTTCCGTGTGATGTCCTTGCATTTTTTATCTCCTGAGTTGTGTCGCAGTGACGTCCACTGTTGGGTCGCCGAGCCAGTGAAGACAGTACCCTGCATTTACATAGGGTTCCTGGGCCACCGTTGTTGGGGGGGATTCCCAAAGGGCCATTGTTTGGCGTTTCGGGCCGTCCCAACGCCAGCTCAACCGAACCCTGTTTATTGTTGAATGGAAGGCTATAAGCGAGTAGGAATCAGGGACGGACCGTGGCAACGGCACAGACAGGGCACGGGTCTCGCTCGTCAGTTTCAGTGTTGAAGGAGGTGCCAGGTCTTTTGCTGCGAATAATGTTGTGGCGCCTGACCGGCCTGACCATGCGGTCATTCTGCCACTTTCAGGTGTGGCATGGTGTGGCTGCCACAGTTCAACGAAAAGGTTTTGAGCCACCAACACAATCTGCAATGGAAAGTGTGTTTGTGGTCGTGTCCTTATGGCGCAAGAAAAGACTGTCGTCCGTTGTTGAAGGTTGGTTCGACCCTTCGAAGCGCTCAAGAGACCTTCAAGACTTCAGAATCAACACTCCCCCGAGAAACACCTCATTGTTTTTTCCTTTCCGGGTGGGTGGATCAAACCCAGATCAGATCGCCCAATTCCGCTGGATCGACTATTGGGATGAGGTGTGTGCGTACTCTCGAACCAGCTAAGCCGAGCTAAGCAGCAAATGAACGGAAAACGTTCGAAAGCCACTTGCCCATCAAACCGCGGACCGGAGTTTAGTGGCAATTCTTTCGATCGTTCTTTCCATGGCTACCGAACTTTCGCCAAAGACCATAGACTAGTACAGCGCTCGCGCACACACAGTGGGGAGGCAGATTCTGGGGGTGCAGCATGATGCAGCCTTAACCATCCATCATCCAGATCATTCATCCACTGATTCTGGTGGGATATACTCAACATCCACCCCAACATGTCCTCACCCCTTCCGCTGCTGCTTTCGCCATGGATCCCTGCTGCGGTGCTGCACCTGCTTCTTTGCGGCCGGTCACAGCCGTTGGTCCGCGGAGGAGGACCGGCCTGGGAGGCCGAGGCCGGGCTTCTTCGATTCCGAACGTAGGAAGTACCGTGGATCATCTGCAGATCACGTTTTTGGGGGATTTGGGATGGATTCAAAGGGTTTCTTCACTGAAATCCCAGAGGTGGAAAACGGTTTTGACGTAATCATTCATTGTCCTGGGACTTGTGTGTTCAACAGCAAAGTACACCGCCATGGATGGGTCAGAGTTAGATCGGGTAAATACATGTAACTATTCCCATGGATGGTCTGGGTTTGTCTGATTGCATGTGATTTGCTATGTGTTTCATGATGCGTTGATGTGTTTTAGGGCACGATTCGGAAAGACGTGGAATGATTGAATGGAAAGATCACTTTCGGAAGTGTTTGTGTTTCTTTTACATTGTTGTGTGGCAACCCAAATAGGAGTGCAAAGTGCAAAAGTTTAGGTGATGATGATGAAGGCTGCATTTGAGCTTTCCAGAGTTCGATCAAGGCGACATCTAGATGTGTTTCGGATAATTCATAATAATTATGTTTCCACATGTTTCCGCTGGAAAATCTACCAACCTATTGGAATTCTACAGGTTCTATGTTTCAACCTCTTTTTGGAAATGCATGGAATTGCAAAGTCGCTGCCTGTGTCTAAAGGGCTTCTACAGAACATATCTCACTGATTTGCAAAAAAGACTCTTCAAAATTCCCAGGAGAGGCAGATGGCAATTTCAGTACAACCACTCACCTTCGGCTACACTTTCGCAGCCTGGGCCACCTTTTGCTGGCCTCCTTGTGGTGCTGGGCCTGGTTCGCCTTCGAGAACAGTCGAAGGAGATCTGGTGGAGGAGTTTGAGACGAGTTCGAGAAGAGAGATTAGCGAGGTGGGAATGGCGAGGCTTAAAATTTAGAGACATGTTCTGGTTTTAAAAGGATTGGTGAATCCCCCAGAAAGTGGGATTCGAAGGAGAGAGACTATACAGGCTTTACAAATACAGTTTTTTGTGCTACAGAGACACTATATATAGGTTTTATTGATTCAGTCTTTTGCGCAAGCAGCCATGAGGCTTGTTGCCGCAGTATACAAGGAGCTTTGCACCACGTAGTTCGCAGATTCTTTTGGCAGAAGCTAGCTGGGGAAGTAGATGCATCTATGGCTTCCAATACGGAACCAATAGACAGAACATCTACTGTAACCATAAGTCTGAAAGGATTCACCCTGTCCACTAGAAAGGGTCTGAGTTTTTCAGACCCATCTCCAGGTCCGATGGCCGCAGAAAGATGTCAAGCGATTCTGATCTTGCGGATGAATTGGTGCAGAAACTGTGCCAAGCAGAGACTGAAAGAAACCTGGATGTGTTGAATCGTGTTTTCTTGGACATGGCCAGATACCTGCAGAAGCAGTACCAGCAGAGTAGCCACCCCTTTTTGGAGATTATTGAAGTTACTGGTGTAAGTTATGGCCTTACTTGTATGCTGAAGTGGACAAGTTTGTATCGAACTAGCTCTTTGCTGTGCCGTGACCCTTTGGATGTGACAACAATCCCACAAAAGCATGTTCTCATGTTTGCCGAAACGAGACTAAGGACATCTTGAAGACTCTCTTAAAACAAATTTGCTATCAGAAGTGCGGCGCTCGAAAACAACTGTTGGGCCTGTCTTGAAGGCTTTGTGCCAGCAAACGGGAGCAGCAA